TTCTGCAGGTGCAGGGCTCAGGCAAATTCTGTTAGTGAATGTCATTTGCAAGAAGCAAAGTCTTAGGAATACATGCAAATCACTACCTTTGTGCGTGGTCATTCCTACGTTGGTGTGCCGCTCTATGCAATCTATGCTTCCTGCCCTGCCCCTTCCCCCAGAATTGGGCAAACTGAGCTGCCACTGATTTCTTTAATTTTAAATGCTATATTTTGAAATATAAGAAATTATAATTAAGTACAGAGGCCCAGCTTCTTCCAATGGTGACATCTCACCTGACTGTTGCAAGATATCAAAACCAAAAAGTAAACTATTACTAATACTGCTAACTGGACCACAGTGTATCTGCTTTTTAAAATGCACATTTATTTTGAAATAATAAAACAGTTCTTTTAAACATAAATGTCAATATTGGGTGACAAGGATGACAAGGAGTGTAACATTCTCTTCAAGCAGTAGCCAGGTGTGATGCTGGACATGAAGTACCAATGGCGGTTTTAATGCCATAGCCCCAAGCTCAGGAGTGTGCCCTAAGAAGGAAAGACGTGGAACAAGTCGAATGACATGGACTGGGCAGAGGGCAATAGGAAGAAGACCCAGTGGGATTTAAATTGAGCAATTTGCCTCTGTTCCCCCAGAGCCTGCTGTGGCCAGAAAGGCACTTTCCTCATACTCCCACAATAGAACATGCAAGTCCACTTGATTTGAGAAAACACATACAGCATTTGTAAGAACATACTTTTTTTTTTAAAAAAAAGATTTATTTATTTATGCATAGGAGAACGGGCGTATAGGCCAGAGATTCAGATAGGTGAGAGGATTCACCAGAGACAGGAGAGAGGAACAGAACAGGCAGACTTTTGAAATACACTGCTGAGGGGAGCAGTGGGCAGGTCAGGAGAGGTCTGCCGCACCATGTGGGTCAGCTCCCTGGCCAGGGATTGAACTCATGCTGCAGTGGCTTCAGATAGCTTCATCGTGCTGTGCTTTAACACTTTGTGCCACCAGGGAGGGCCCAAGAGCATAATTTTTAATAGCCTTTATCTTTTAGAGCAGTTTTAGGCTCACAGGAAAATTAAGAGGACAGTATCAGGGTTCCTTATGTCCCCTGTCCCCAAATCTACCTCTCTCATTCAACCTCCTTCGCCAGATGGTACATTTATTATAAATGATGACCTTACAGGGACACAACATCATCACCCAAAGTCCGTATTTTACATGAGGGTTCTCCTGGTGTTAGACATTCCAGGGGTTCAGACATGGAGCCACCATTAAAGTGTCCTACTAAATATTTTCATAACCCAAAACCCCCGTGTGTGCCGACTGTTACCACCACCCCTGACTCAGGCCACCGTTGAGCCTTACTGTTCCAGTTTTTCACAGCGTCATATCGTATGTGTCTTATACTACATGGCCTTTTCACAGTTGCGTCTTTCTCTTAGTAAAGTGTATTTAAGGTGCCTCCCTGTCTTCTTCCCATGGCTTGATAGCTCATTTCTTTTTTTTTTTCTAGCACCGAATAACATCCCATTGTCTGCAGGTATCACAGTTTATTTATCCATTCACCTACTCAAGGACATTTTGGTGGCTCCCACCTTTTGGCGATCAGATGCTGTAAACATTTACCTGCAGGTTCTGATTGGATTTTCAACCCACCAACATGGTGTCATTGGGACCGTCTGTGTATCTGTGTCTGACTTCTCATTCAGGAGTGAGAGACGCTTTATTTTTCAAAACCTCGACTTCTCTCTTTTCTTTGGGTGGGTGTTGAGGGAAGAGCCTAATTTCAGTCTTATTCCTGTCTCGCTCCACTCTTTGAGACTTGGGATGGTTCACGGGAGCAAATGGCACTTTGTCTTTAATTAGCAACTTCCGATGGCTCACTGCCTGCTGTGGCTTGTTTGCTCACCCTCTCACTGGGGTGCAGGAGGACCAGCACAGTGCTAATAGCATGCTTTGAATGTTTAAATCTGGCCAACTGGCATCGGATCATGAAATGAGGTTGCTTTTGTGCTGTTTGTAGCAACATCTAGGTGCAGGGGAGAGGACTAGATGACATTGGCTAAGAGGGAAGGTGAGGAGAGAGGTCATGGAGAAAACCTTCCATCACTAGATCCTCTAAGCCTAGCCCTGGCTAAAGAATTCTCCTCCAGACAGTCAGCTGCTCTGAGTGAAATGATCTGGGTGGTCGTGTTTCTCCCTCTTCATCAGGATTCCCTCCCACTCTGATGCCAGGCTGCACCCATCCTGAGTGCTCTGGGTATGTGAGAGTCAAGTGTGTGTGTGTGTGTGTGTGTGTGTGTGTGTTCTAAAACAGAGTCACTGGGTTCTCTGGAGGGTTCTTTCTATCTAGTCTTAATAGAACCTAGTCTAGGTTCTATCTACCTACTTCTATCTAGTTTAATGGCAGGAGAGTTGGTAAAAAGTCTAGACAGCTGGATGAAGATGGGGTCATTAACATTAGTTGGGAAAGTTAGGAAGATGGTGAAACCAGTTAATTCCAAACTAATACATTCTTGCATTTGTTTTTTTTTCATCTTTAAAATGAGAGCTTTTATTTTAAAAGAAATATAAACATCATAAAAATAGAAACAGTAGATTTTGCATTGATTTTGCATTGAGGCAGTTTTATCTTCCACAGGTGTTACAGCAATTTTTCTCAGAGAAATCAGGCGACACTCAGAGAGGTGGAGAGAAAGATTTATTCCTCACACCAGTGGGCCCAGTGGGATAGCTCCAAAGCCTGGGCCCCAAAGAGCAGAAATGGCAGGGCTTTATACCGTGTGTATGTGGAAGCTTGTCACTCCATCTCTCATAGCCTTTTCTGGTTGTTTTGGAAGATGGTCAGGGTGGCCACGGCCACTGCAGTGGGCAAGCAGCACAGCCAGCAACTTACTGCCCCAGCAGCAGTGGACTTAGCAACTCCCTGTGTCGTAAGGACATTATTCTAATTTACTCGAGGGCTATAAGTGGGCACCGATTCTGAAACCCTTTATTTTTATTTATTTTTTTTTAAGATTTATTTATTTGTGCATACAGAACTGGGGTACAGGCCAGAGGCTCAGGGGCGGCGAGAGGCTTCACCAGAGACAGAGTGGGGAGCAGAACAGGCAGATCAACGAAGTACACTGCTGAGGGGAGCAGCGGGCGGGTCAGGAGAGGTCTGCGGGCGCCATGTGGTCACCTCTGGGGCAGGCGGGAATCAAACTCATGCGGAAGTGGCTTTAGCTTTTCAATGCTGTGCTTTAACCCGCTGCGCCACCAGGGAGGGCCCTGAAACCCTTTATTTTACAGTGTGTTTCTCCTTGCCAGGAGAAACCCTCCCAGTCTGCATGTAGGCATCAGACTGGGAGGGGATTAGGTGAGGTGAACTCAGTTTGCTGTTCTCCCCTCCACCTCAGTCAGGTGCAGGAGGGAGAACTTAGTTCTTTGCAGGGCAGCAAGGGATGCCTAGAGCTTACACCAAACAGGGCAAGCACAGGGCTTGAGAGGGGAATGAGAATGCTGAGCTGGGGTCTGAGGAATTTCCTAGGAGCATTGCTTGGTGCTGGGAGTGTCAGCGTGGGTCAGATACATTATCTAGGTCAGGAGAGTAAAAATTTGCCACCCTGATGTGGACATCCCCTCCTCCCACTTGAATCAGCTAGTCTAGAGGGTGGAAGTAATGCGACCTCTCCCCCTTGCCCTGCCTGTGTGCGGGAAAGTAGCAGGCAGGCAGGTACCTCACTCTTCCCAGAAGCCAAGCTAGCTTGGAGAGGTGTAGCAGCAGCTCACACAGCCAGACTCCCAGGAAGCCCAGGACCGTAACTTTTGTGTTGGCTCCTCTGTTCGTTTACTGCTGGTTTTGCCTTTGGGTTGGTCCACTCTTTTTTCCAAAGTGGAGTGGAACGCTTCCCGGGGCGTTAAAGCATGTCCTCTCGGGCATTTGCTCCGACTGCAGAAAAACAAGTCCAAATGCAATGCACTCAGGTTTCTGAACAGCTGCCTGAGCACCGAAACCAGACAGTCAGCAAAGCTCTGGGAGGGAGAGCAGGACTCCAGAGAGGGTGGAGAAGGGGGGTACACCGAGTAGAGTCGGCGGTAGGGTGGGTCCCGGCGCCAGCCAGAAGGGCGACTCAGGCTGGCTGGTGCGCGGGTAGGGGGAGGTGCAAGCGGCGAGGAGGTGGGGCTAGAGCCTCGGTGGCCGCCGCCAGGGAGCGGGCTCCCTCCCAGCGGAGCCATGCGGGACGTGAGCGACGTGTGGCAACCTCTGCGCCGACTGTGTTCCTTAGCAGTGTGGGTTTAGGGGAGCTCCGCCTTCTTCTAATCACAGCCCGACCTCCGCGTGAGGTATGCACCTCTGCTAGGCAGGCAGCACTTCTCTGAGGATGTATCCTGTGCTAAAGCGACATCATCCATCAATAAATACCACCACGCGGGCAGAACTCCCCCCTCCCCCGCCACTCCCCTCCCCCTAAATTTTCAGCGGTCATGCACTGGGCTAGCCTCGACCTTTCCACGTCTCGCCCCGCAAAATTGCGAGAAATGAGGCAGAAGGGACGCACACACACTACAAATTGGGGAAGGAGAGATGTAGCAGGGTCCTGCTAGAGGAATATCATGAATTTGAAGGGTACGCATAATCATGGCAATGACTCCCAATAGTTATTACGGGCTTTTCGTCATATGATGAATTGTAGATCGAGATAGGATCAGCTAGGTTTACTCTCCATCTCGGAGAGGGAAACGTTCATCCACAGAATTGTAAATGGGGACCTTGAAAACCTGGCTTTTCTGCCCCGCCCCACTCCCCGGCATCGCTGGTCTTTCAGCAGCCAGACCCGGGGTGGGGGGGAACCCTGGACACCAGGTCTTGGGGCTGGGTGTGGAGTTCATCACTAATCATGCCATCAAAGAATTCGGGGTCATGGGCTGGGTGAGCACTCCTGCTCTCTCACAGGAGAAAACCCTCTCCTGGAAGGCCAGACAATCCTGGAGGTGGGGGCAGGGAGGCCAAATTCCCAGGTACTTACTAAGAGAGCTGCCCTAGTGGGCAGCTACAGGAGAGCTTTGCCCCACAGGCACTCAGCATCTGCTCCAGGCTTCCTCTCATTCAGCAACGTCTTGCCCCCCTCAACCCCCTTCTCTCTAGTCCTTAACCTAGTCCTTAACTTGTCAGTCCAGCTTGATTTGGAGTGCATGTTAAGAATGCAGAATATTGGGGTTTCTCATCAAAGAGGCCTAGTCACTGAAGTGCGTTTTAACCATCATCTCAGAAGTATTCCACTCCCTCTCCGCGGCACTTTTAAGGCGATGATTCCGGGAAGCTATGCCAGTGGTCCTTAGGATGACAGAAACAGGACCTTCAGCCAGGACTGGGTTTTAAGGGCTAAGACGCCCTTACTAGAGGGACTGAAGGAGCAGAGCGCGATGCCGTAGTTTTCCTGGAGGGGGCGCCAGCAAGCCGCCTCCTGGCTTGTCCATCCTCTCTCCTCACGTGAAAGGGGGCTGGAGCTAGAAGTATGCGTCCCCGCCCAGGCTGACGTGATTGAACCGGCGGTCGGATTCTTAAAAGCCGGAGCGCCCGGCAACCCAGCAGAGCCGGAGAGGAGGCGAGCGGGCGGGGAGGTAGGCGGACCCGAGCTGGCGTTCGGGAACCTCGGCTGTCACTGCGCTCGGAGCATCTCCGGGACTTTACGAGTGGACGAGCCCGGCCCTGCAGGCGTAGCGGGTGCAAGCCTCAACCCCCAGTAGCGCTGGTGGAGCGGAGCCTCACCCCGGGGCAGCGAGCATTGGTGATTTTAGCACAAAGCACGTTTCCAAAAGTAGCGTTGGGGAGAGTGCCCGGGCCGCGCTTCCGCGCACGCACCCCTTCTCACCCTTTGTTTCGGGGGTCGGCAGGCCGTTGTGCTCCCCAAGTGTGAATTCTTCGCGAGGGGCGGAGTGCCGCCGAGTCTAGGCTGCGAAGATGCCCTTGGAGCTGACTCAGAGCCGGGTGCAGAAGATCTGGATCCCCGTCGACCACCGCCCCTCGCTACCCAGATGTGAGTGCAGATGCGCGTTGGGCCGAACTGCAGGGGAGTGCGCCGCGTGCAGATCGAGGCCATTGTGGGAGGCCGCTGGCTCGGCGCTTTTGTACGGGCTCGGTTCCTACGGCGCGCTGGTGCGGGGCCAGGGGCCTCCCTCCTTCGCCGCCCCGCGCGGGGTCGCCCACCCTCCCTCCCGGCGAGCGGGCAGGCAGGCGGGGGGGCGGGTCCAGCCACTCTCCGAGGGGCGGGGTCCGGCCCGGGAGCTGCGCCTCCCCGGGCTGGCGCGGGGGGCGCTGTGGCCAGCTGGCCACCCCGTCGTCCCCCACTCGGCTGGTGCTCGGCTGGTGCTCCGGAGCGCAAAGGGATCCGGAAACAGGCGTGTTCCTGGGCTTCTGCTCCGGGGCACCAGGGCTGGAAGCGCGGGACGCTGCGGAAAGCCTTAGCCTCGGGGACGCTTGGGAAGGCGCTCCTGCATGCTCGCCGGCCCCGGCCACTCTCCCGGATGCCGGCCGGGCTGAGTCCAGCCAGGGGAATCTCCCACGCGCTGTATCTCGCCTCCTGGGCGCTCTCCTTTCTCGGTCCATCGTCACCGCTCCGCCCCTCTGCCTCCTGCCCTCCTCCTCTTTCCTCCTTTCTAGGTCTAATCTCTCCTGCTCCAGATCTCCCTCCCTCCCTCTCTCTTTCCATTCCCCTGTCCTACACCTGCGCCGGCGGTGACGAGATAAATGCCTGGAACCTGCTTTCGCCCGGGTTTTGAGGATGGTCAGTGGAGACCGCAGAGTTGGCGGCGTTCCACACGTGCGCACACACCCTGCGGACCTGGGAATTTGCTGGCAGTTAGCAGCCGCCCTGCCCGGTCCGTGGTGGTCTCTGAGTGCTTTGGAAAGGTTCACCTTGGGCCCTGTCCCAGCTACAGAGCCTCTGAAAAGGGCGCTTCCAGTGGCTGGGCCCCCAGGCAGTCCCGCTCTGTGGCCCACGGGGCAAGGATCCAGGCTAGAGTTGGATGTTTTGCGCCAGCCCTTTTGGGATTGCCTGACGGGTAACCCTGGATCCCAGGTGCAGACCCTTCAGGGGGCACCTGAGTTCCAGGCGGCCTCTGCTGTCATGTTTCATAGGGGTGGGTCACTCAGCCAACTTGACAGCTTGCCCCCTTGGGGTTTGTTGGTGTATGAATCACCACTTCCTTCCCCACCCAGACCTGCTGCAGGAGACAGGGAGCTGGCTCTGTGGTTTTCCAGGTCACCAGTCACCCCCAACACTGGCTGCTCCTCCGCCAACTTGTCTTTTGTGCTGGACTGAGAGTTTGGGGTGGAGGGTGCTTAAGGAGCGCTAACACTCTGCAGGGTCGCCAGGGACCCTGGGAGATGTGTAGGTCTGTCTGGTTTTGCAGCTCTTTGGCGTGTGCTCTTAAAGAGCTTGATAAATGGGGGCAGCCTCCAATCTGGCTGTATTTCTGTAAAACCTGTTGGTGGAAGGCAGCCTTTTAAATGTTGAGGGAGATTGGGCCATAGATGATACACAACCCCACCCCTTTTTGAATTCTGAATAAAGCAGATATTTATAGAGTACTTTGTAAACTGTAATTGGTCATACAACTATAGGTTGGTTTATGTATGTGTATGTATATGTAAATACATGTATTTATATGTAGTGTACTATACTAACATTTAGTCCTCCTCCTAGCTCAAGGTGATTGAATGAGGTTCGGTGTGGCACTGACACTGGCTAGTGTGGGCTCAGGGGTGTCATTCTGGCCCATGAATGTGCAGCCATCTCCCTTCTTCCAGGCCTAAAAACCATCCATTAAACTTAGTCTGCCATGTCCCACACACAGATGAGAGCTTTGCCAAAAAATTCCTGTCAGCCACTCAGGGCTGGGGTAAAGAGTTACTAAAGCTGATGGATTAAGTCTCTTGTCCCCAGCCATTCCTGGAATCCCTTATATGGTTCTGGGGTGTAGCCTCAGAGTTTTCTTTATAAAATTACCTGCAGCCTGGATATGCTGTTATTCCAAGCAGTGTGTGATTCTCCATATTTACAGTCATCTGTCTCCTTGGAATAGAGAAATGAGTTTTCCTTCTTGGCATCTTTGCAGATTCCCTTCCTGTCCCTTTTTCCTCTAATGGCATCTGAAACACGGAATGGTTTTTTCTTCCTAAACCTGTTTCCCTCTTTCGTAGTGGTTTCTTAATTGGGGCTCTACAGTAGATTCCTTCGAGGTTTAGTAACTGAAAGAGGTTGTGGGAAAATTACTGTTTGTGTTAAAAGAACAGTTAAACATCAGTGGAAAGCCTGAGATTGATTAGTTTGTGATTTCTGCATCCAAAGCACCTTGAGTGGGGACCCTGTGGCCACACCCACCTGTGGTCAATGCTTCTCGCACCACTTGGAGCTTCCTTCAAATACGGACTATAACTTGGGGAGTTCAAAGATTGAAAGGACAGGTCAGCTGGCCTTTCTGTTTGTTCTTTTAGTCAAAGTTGAGAGCATCGGTGGGTGTTTCGGTCTCTACCTAGAGGGGTGAATTACTTATCCACTCGGGATGTCCGCTTCCTCATCTCTGTAGCAGGTTACATACGGGAGGGAGCCCGTGCCATGTGGTGGGTCCTGACAAAGGCAGGTTTGTGTGTTTTATAAATACTTGCCCTCATCAGTGGGGAGAGAAGGGGTGTCATATTGGTTAATGCAGGTCGTCTTAAACAGCAAGTAGAGGACAGCAGCTCATAGCCTGAAACTTTTTTTTAAATTTAATTTAATACTATGGCGTCAGACAAACAGCCAACCTATTCACCAAGGATTTAAAATAGACACTGCAGAGAGGTGATTGTGAAGAAGTATGACATGGCACTGAAATCCTGATAGATTTTCATCCCAGTAGGGCTTTGAGCCAAGATATATTCGATTTAAAGGAGGAAGATAAGGGAATGTGTAAAAGAAGAAACCCTTCTCTTCTCACTGGATGGCCTTTGTAGTGATTCTCGCCAAAGCTATACATTAGAATCACTAGGGGGAGCTTTTGGGGGAAAGTCTGTTTTGGGCGAGTTCCCCAGCCAAGTCAGAATTACCAGGCATTGAGTTTTTAAAAGCTCCTTAGGGTCAGCCACTGACTGAGAACCACTAGTTTAGGAAACAGCACTTTTAGGGGAGAAAGGCCAAGTTGAGCGGCAGTTCTCTCCCCTTTTACATGTGCCGTGGGACCTGGCTTCACTTGCGCGTCTTGGTTTCCTCAGGTCTGGAATGCTAGAAGCGGCTGTGGCTGACACTGATGGAAGTCTCCATAGCAAGCTTTTGACACCCATTCTGTGTGGTTAATCCTCTCAACAACAGCCTTTATGAAGCATCCTTCCATTTCATAGGAAAGGAAACTAAATAAGCCTCTGAGATCAAGTAACATGTTCAAGGTCTGAGGAAGTGGTGGGGCCAGGCTTTGAACTCTGTTTATTTGCCCCCAGGCGCCACTCTCAGCCAGGCTGGTATTGTATTGCCTCCCGTGGCTGACAGATGATTCCCTGAGACCAGTCCCTCACAGCTGCTGGCAGAGGCCATGCTGGGGATGGACAAGATTAGCTAAGCGTGAGTTAAAGTGGGCCTGCAAAGTACTATATGTGGATAGTAGCCATCAAAATAGCATGGAACACTTTTGAGACAGATTTTGTTAGCTGGGTTCTCCCCCAAGTCCTCAGCACCTCCCCCTCCACCCCTGCCAACCCCGGGCAAGCTCACTTATATGGTGGTTGTTAATGTTAGCTAAGCAAAATCTTCAGGTGCCCTGGCCTGATAGGATCCCGAGAGAGAGGATGTGTGTCCTAGGGATGACACTCAAATGTCTGGCATTGCTTTCTGGGCAGGTGTTTTGCGCATGCTGTCTCCCAGGACAGAGGGCACACCTCCTATTTCCCAGACAGCCCTTTCGGGTGGTCTAAGTGTAGGTCACTGGTGGTCTTAGTGCAGCTGTCCTTTGCCCTGGGCTGGCAGGGAGGGGGCCGTGTCTGCTGTAGATTCAGCTGTTAGAATTCCACAGGTGCTTCTGGAGGCTGGTTCGGGCCACAGATGCAGTTTGCCGTTTCACAAACAGCCTCTTCCTTTAATGGCCTTGGTACTTGTCCTTGAAGTGCAATTCACTCTTAAAAAAGAGCAAGAGTCACCTGGCATCTTTGAGGTTAGCCTTTCCAAGGGCCACTGGGTTCAAGAAAGCTCAAAGGAGGTTCTGGAGCAGCCGCAAAGTGCCTGGCAGTGGTTTGTTTATTTTCTGAGTCGGAGTTGTAGGTGTCAGTATGGTGGGTGAGGACAGTTGCCAAGTGCCTGCTGTGTCTGGACCTCACACGTTATCAGGGAAGGTAGCAGCCCAGAGGGCTAGGGTTCTTCACTGCAGTCTGTCTTGCTGGCTGGTCCCAGGATTGAGCAAAGGCTGCTGCTTGCAGCACTTACCAGCCAGCTTTCTGAATCCACTTCGATGCAGGGAGCTGGCCCGTGCAGCCAGTGCGCATTACACGCAGCTGAGACTGGACTTTGGCTCAGGTCTCAACTCTGGTACCGCTCAGCCAACCTGGCCCCAGTGCACTGCTTCCTTTAATGGCTGACTCCTAGTTGCTTTTCTCATGCGCTGCAGTGATCTTTTGCTTCATTTGCTTGTAAGTTGTCAGGCCCCTCCTGCCTCCCCAAACCTGAAACTTCTCACACAGGTTTGAGCCCACCATATGTCCAGTGCATGAGTGAATATTATTGCATTATAGAGTTGGGGTGAGCCCCTGGAACATGGTGACTTTCTGTGAACTCTTATTCAAGTGCTGGTCTCACCTACAGAAGACTTTGCTAACCTGAGCTTCCCAAATGGTTAGTTATCAGAGTGTTTATGGTCTGTTAATGTGGTAGTCTTTAAATGATCACTTCTTTGCTTCATGACCGAAGTAATCATCTGTGTATCTTCTTGGACATGTTCACATTGACATCTAAATATCTCTAAATACAAATGCATTTTGGGGGGCAATGAAGAAGTTCAAATATTTAATGAAGGCCCTTCCTGGTGGCACAGTGGATTAGGACACAGCACTGCAAGCTGGCCACAGCAGCTCCAGTGTGAGTTCGATCCCTGCCCCATATGGTGACCCACATGGCATGGCAGACCTCTCCTGATCTGCCCGCTGCTCCCCTCAGCAGTGTACCTCGTCGATCTGCCTGTTCTGCTCCCCACTCTGTCTCTGGTGAAGCCTCTCATTGCCTCTGCACCTCTGGCCTATACCCCAGTTCTGTATGCATAGATAAATAAATGGTTAAAAAATGCTCAATGTAGAAGATGAAATGAGACACATCAGTACTTTCGGAAACTCATGTGTCAAACTCCATACTATGTCCCATAAAACCTGTGCTACTGAGGGAGGAAAGGCAGAGCCCAGGAGGGTGGGAGGAGGTGGGAGGGTCCGCGCGCTCAGTGGGTGAAACAGTTGGCAGAGAAGTCAGGGACCTAGGTGGGGGGAAGGGTTGGGAGACTGAGGAAGCTGCAGGCAACTATAGTGCTTCAGGTGTGCTTTGGATTTAAAAGAGTTGGGAGGGAGAGATGTAAGCAGGTGAACGCATATAAGATCCTAAGGTTCAGTCAAAATGTTCCATTTCCCTGCTCTGAGAAGCCGGGTAAAGGGACAGCTGTGACCTTCTTGACACCTCACTTGCTGCTCCTCAGACTCTTGCCGATGCTGCAGTACTAGGAACAATGGCCCCTACTTTGCCAAGTACAGGAGTGATGTCTTGTTTGGGTTTGAGATTCAACCTGAAATTTTGGCTTACGATATTTACTGCATTGTGTCCTTGATTATTTATTTCTTCCTACCCAGAGCATCTCTTGCCAAAGGAGATTAGTGCATATGATTAGTGGAGAGTAGAACTAATCCCCAGTGTGATAAATCAGTCAGCATCTGTCTACACTTCCTTGGCATGGACCCAACACAAGTATGCCATGCACAGGCTTAGTGGGAGACAGGCAGACACCCCCTTACCCCCACATGTTTGGATGTTTTTCGGGCTGTACCATCAGAGGACCTTAGATAAAGCCGGGGAAAACCCAGTGGCTCGGGGTAAGGATTAGTGGAGTGGAGTATTGTTTTGAAGGCAATGTGAAAACTTGGCGGGCAGCTCTCTTTCCTGTGTCACCTGCAGCCGCCACAGGGCTGGCAGTAGAGTGCCTGCTGTGCCCTTTGGTATTCAGGAAGCCTGTTACCTTCCTCTGGGGCACCTTGGGACTTGGGGGAGCCAGTGGCACGTCTTGACTTCTCTTGTGTGATCAACACGGGCCAGGAAAATGCCTCTGTCTTCTAGGATTTTGTTTGCTCTTAGCCTCTGATGGCCATGGAATCCCAGCCAAGGCTTTTTGTGGCTCCTGAATGTGACACCCCATTGCCCCCTCCCTCCAGCCCCCCATGCAGAGTTCACCAGTGGCCTAACAAGCAGGAAGAGCTAGCCCAGAATGCGAGTCTTGCTTCTTCCTTGCCTCCAGCCTAGAAGAGCATAGTGGGGACGTAAACAAACTGTGACCTCAGTTGGGTCACCAGGCTGAGGACTGTACCTTGTTGGGGTGTCCTGTGCCTGCCAGTCAACAAAGCATGGCTTGGGGTGTCCTATGCCTGCCAGTGCACGAAGGATGGCTTCCCCTACCTGTAGGGAAAGCTGTTCAGGAGACACCACAAATCTAGGCCAATGACGGATCACACTGGGGCTCCGCCTCTGAGCTGGCAAGTGCCAGATAGGAGAGCAGAGCCGCATCCCACTGACAGGCATAGACACCCCAACGTGGCTGGACAGCGCAGCACAGGGTGCTGGGCTGGGAGTTGGCAGGTGCCCAGTCTTCCTCCCAAGGGCAACCCCTGGCTGGAGAGCGCTTTTGTCACCAGTGTCGCCTGAGAGTCTCGGGCCAGATGCCAGCCAAGGAAACACTGTGCCCTGATGTCTGGAACAGTGTTCTCTGGGCTGCCGTCTTAAAACCCAGAGAAAACTCTCCTCTTGGTGCTTTGCCTTTTGCTATTCTGAAGAACTCTGGGCAGTCAGACAGCGTTCAGCCATGGAGCCAGGAGATTCTCGAACAAAGCCTCCGGTTTCCCAATGCCCTGCCCAAGTCTCAGTGGTGTGGGCCCCTGGTGCCCTGAGACCTCCCGTTCTTGCAGCAGGACTCTGGTCTCTAAGAGCAGGGGCAGGAAAGGGCATGCTCACGATGAAGGACTTTGTCCACCACCCATTTGGGAAACCAGTATTGAGGTTCTACCCCCAACTTTCATTTGATAAAATAATTTTAAACATTGCCTTCTTTCAGAGTTTTTTTTTTTTTTTCCCTAAGGATTCCAACTTTATTTTCGAGCTCTAAACTTGGC